TGGTATTGATTTCGAAGCTACCTTGAGTTTCATGAAATGTGCACCGCTAACGATGCTCACTGGGAAAGAAACATCTGTGTTGTGCCTCTTGATGTTCCTAATAGAATGACAATTTTCAGGATGATGTCAAGACTGGGACCTTCGGATCCTATATCATCAACATTTATGGAACCATTGTTTCCCTAGGGTGGTTTCAGGTGAGGTTATTTTTGTTACACAAAGCAGAAACAACAGCAATTACCTGAATAACGGTCACATTTTTAGTACGTCGTTCGAAAAACACAAAAATGTCTAAAGAACAAATGTTGCTGTGCAATTTTCTAAAACAGTTCACGAAATTTTGCTGAAAAATGACAAACTGGCTGCAGTAAAACAATGTGAAATCTACAGAAACAATTCTACCCTGCAACGATGTTGCTTATTCATTATTTTGTTAATTTCTAGTCGCCAACTCACATCCTTAGTCCCGGTGGACCATCAGGCGAGTTTTTCCATGGGAAAATAGCGCTGTTAAAGAGAAAAGCAGAAGTTAATAATGAGGTCTTCTACATGTTGTAATACTACTGGGACTGTTTGAAGTCAACCTAAGTGAGCACCATTCTACAGGTAGTAAGGGTACAAAAAATCCAGATGAACCATGTAAGAGCAAATATGGTGGCGTAGGTCTGGATAGTTGATATTTTTAAGTGCATTCGGTGATGTCAACAAGTGTAAGGAAGACAACTTTGATAAATTTTCATAAGAACATTTTGGTGCTGGATAAGGAGATCGTCTAATGAACTTCCAGTTTTTTTACTCCGAGATTATATCACACGTCTTTGTGTCATAACTTAAGACTTATTTGTGAAGTGCGAAGTAATCCACCGTTATTTTGATCTATTTTTTGGTTCAGCTCCAAGCAGTTTTTGACTATAATAAACTGCAATCAGAGACTTTCAGAAATGCAATCATTTGAATATCAATTTGGTTTTCACGAGTTACTTGACTGAATCTCCCGTTTATAATATTTTTCCCCAAGAAGGGTAAAACTGGTCGTGAGCTGTCGACGAGTTTTCAGCAAACTTGTGAGTAGTTGACCTTGTGCAAACAGAGACTACTTCGTTCCAGGTCAATCCAAGGGTAAATTCAAAGAACCACACCCAATAAGTTCTATTGCATCAACTTTTTAGACAAAATGTCACTCAAACCAACCCAAAAATGGGGTGTAAAATTGTAAGCTAGATGTTCGGAGCTAGTCTGTTCTTCCCCAGCTCACGCGTATTTTTTTACAAGGACTTTTGCCCAAAAATATTTCAAAAGGTAATACAATCAGATTAATTTTAATCGGTTTGCATAGTGTCCGTTTGTTTTTATTTAAGGAAAGAAAGCTCAGCTGAGGCTACTAAGCGAAAGAAATAAGTTTTAAGATGGCCTTAAACACAGGTACCGAACGATAATCCCTTGATAGGCCACGTCACAAGTTTACTACTAGACGCAGTTTCTTGCCCAGTGGTCCCTAAAACTGTCATTCCTTCCAAATATTTAGGTTCAAAACAAGGAGGTACAGTTTTGTGGTTGTTGTTTTTTTATGTCCCAGGAAAGTTTCTCAGGTGACGCGGGCCTCGTATGGGTATTCTTCTAGTCCAAAAGCCGTGGAAATTCTGATAGCGCTCATAATTGGTTAAGTAATTAATGTCCTATGATTTCATTTGAGATTTTCTCCCTATAAGTGAAAACTGTCTTCTCAGAAATTCGAGTATACTGTATATTCGCTTTATCCATTTGGGATCTCACAAACTTCCTAGTAGAATCGATCCAGCGACATTTCGGATACTGGCCGAACACCACCACACCGTTTGGGCACGACTGGCTGATGGGGCGAGTAGCTAGCAACTAGGAAGGACAAAGCCATTACTCTTTAACCCCTCGAGCCTACATCATGTAGTCCTGTGAGAACTGGCTTTTGCATTCAGAGGAAGAAGAAAATTCACTCGGCAAATGGGGCCATCTCATCTGCGATCATTTTTATCTTGTATTATCCGTGATCTGCAGCCACACTATACACTGGAATTTCACTTTAAGAATCTGTCGTCTGAAGTCAACTTAGTCGTGTTTCGGTAGCGATATTGAAGGTCCACTGCTATGTGACGTAATAAAAAACTGGTATGCGTCAAAAATTTTCAGTTGTTATTCCGAACCTATGTAAACTAAATGCGAAAACCCTGAGAGGCAAGACTAATACGGCCGTATAACACCAGTCCAACAACAAATATGCTAATTAAGGGCCGCGATTAGAAATTCCGCATTCAAAGTGAAAAGCAACTTACCGGAAAATTAGAATCACTGAAGTTGCCATATACAGACACGGTGCCTTAATTTCACGAAAAAAATGGTCCCTAACCTGTTGGAGACTTTTACTGATAATGAGTAGGAAGTTGTTATAAAATCGTACTAACAAAAGAATGGAGGAGAATTAGTCTTGATGTAAATTCTGAGGTGGCCAAAACTGCCTTAGTGACAAATTTTTGGAAACCTGTACCGAAACGTAAAATGTTTAGCTTATACGCTGAACAGGGCGATGACCTAGTGAAAAAGCTTGTTTATTGTTCGGTAATGTCGAGCATTTAAGAATGTGCTTCTGTTCATTCAAATACCCCGAGAGAATCACCATTCTTCTATTTTGAAGTTTATATAAAGCATATCTGAGTCAACTTATAGGTTAACAACAGATATAGTCCAGTATCTGAGTTTCTTTTAAAACTAAAATGTAGGTCTTCGTCATTCCTTATACCTTGTTTGTGTTTGCTTTACTGCATTACAAACTTATTTTCGTAATACATAGCCACGATCACGTGATTTTCCTCGGTCATTATTCCATTTTGGTAGATTGTTTACAATGTTTAAAGCGTTGGAAACGCATACGCCATAGGTTAAGATAACCAAAGAAACCATCGGATAGTACAAAAAACACTTGTTAAATATAGACACTTTGAGTGAGCACCGATTTTGCCTGTTAAATTCATTATCGCCCACTTGCTCTTGGAGACGTCTACATTTCCAAATGTTGCCAACTGTTGGAAAACAGCAGTGAGACTATTCTACACTAAAAAGAAGATTCATGATGGTCAGTTTAGGTGAATTATTTTTTTCCCAGAGCTTCTATAAACATTTCGTGAAAGGGAGTAGGACATCGTCACAAATATTGACGTTTTGTTACATATCGTTTGTTTCCAATTTTTTTAACGTTTCATCTCCTAGGTAGCTGAGACCACCTGCTAAGCAATTATCAAATGATCTAACCGTAACCAGATTTATGATCTCCTGCAACACTGCATTAGGTGATCAAAGTTGGTAATTTCCCTTGCGCTGCGGGAAGTTGTGGCAAAGAACTGACCGGACAAGGGTGAACTGCTTCAACTTAAACGTCCCTAGATTGATAAGTTACGTGATTTCCCCTTAGATTTGATGCCTTAATTGACCATTTATCAATGAACATTATAAGAAATATCTCATTCACCACTCCGGCCCAAAGAAAACTTATGGTCATTTCGGAACCATACCACCAAACAATCGGTTTCGTAGGAGCCAAAGCAAAGCTATCCTTAATTCGACAAAATCGGTTCACTACTGAAAGTGTGCTCTGTCACAGATTTCTGAAATGTGCCCGCCAAAACAATTTCGGTGCGGTTAAACCTGAAGTCACCATCATTCAGGCGGCTGGAACACAGCAGTATGTGTACCAACATACGTTGTTTTCGCTAGGTGCCAATGCACTCATCGTACTCGAGGTTACTTTGTCATGCAAAAGTAGATTAATATCGTACACATATGCACTTGGCAGCCTAAATCAGAGTCCACTTGTACAAATTTTTCTGGCGCGACAACGCTTGAAGAAGGCTGGTCTGATTGAAGTATTTGCTTCTTGAAAAATTTTGGACTACAGCTATTTAGGCGTATTCAGGACCTACTGGTTCTGGATTCGTCCTACAAATGAATGTACGCATATGAAAATTTGGTTGCTTCTGACCATATAGGTTCAGAAACTTGGATTAAAAGCCACGGTGAAAGAAAATGCAAGGCTGTCTCTTTTCCGTATTGCGGCAAAATGCTAAGTTGTTTTCAATCCATAATTTTAGGCGGCTGAAATTGAGACCTTGTTGGTCGGTTGCCGCTGACTATGGTTAAGTATATTTGTCATCCTAAGCACGTAACAAGGTTTCCTATTCTCACAAGTTTAAAGAGCTTTCAGGTCCCCCTAATCGTACCTTTAATTTGTTATTGCAGGTGTTCTTATTGGATTCTCTAGCCCCCCGTCAAATATACTGACTTTTTTGCAGTGGGCTACAATATAATATTTGGGTCGTTGAATCCTCTTTCTATGTACCGTAAGGTTTCAAAATACGCGCCAGTTTAGCGGTCAGCATTCATGTGACACTTGTCGTAAACCTCCACAGAAAGGCCTACGTGACGGCAAGCACCATTTTCATCCCGTTTTATTCTGTTGCACGTGGTTTATGTACCGAATTCTACCAACACTATTATCAGGCACAAGAAATCAGTAATTAACACTTTTTTGGATGTTGTGTTGACCCTGAAACACTGCGTGATGTGCTCCCATCACAATTCTTTGTTTTCTATCTGTAGGGGTGGCTGAATTTTCAACTATTTTAATGATACAGTTTGCAGACCCAAAATCAACTCCACGGAGCGGATTTATTCTTGGTCACAACCTTTGATCCCATTTTTTGGTTGTGGTTTGCGTGCGTTCAGCAGTGTATGATCATTTGAAGCCGCAATTTGTCCGAATTCATTCAGTGTCCATTTGCCATTCCTCCGTACCTTGACTGATTAAAATGCTACTGTTTGTTTTACAGTAGAAGTTCCGTGTCATCATGAGTGTCATTATAATGTGTGTGTAATATTTCTCCTATTCCCAACACTTCAGTACAAATTCCTTTTGCCCCTTGTCTTAGCTCACATTCAGTATGGCCCAGCCGTTGAACGCACAAGAAAAAATCGCAATGCAATATTTTGGAATTCGTACCATTGCTTCAAATGAAGCAGCAATATATGTCATTCTTACTCCTGACGTAGATGAGTTACGAAGACAACCGACACCCAACGTTGGTACAGCGGAACATTTTGCTGATCAGGTTGACGGAAGCGGACATGCTAGTCAGCAGTTTGTGTTCCATGTTGTGGTGCGCGATAATGGCTATCCCAGGCAGCTGTCTTCTCGGGCAAAAATAACGATTACTGTTGTGGATGTCAACGACATGGCGCCGGCGATTTTCGTCAGTTATCTGAACACACCAAAATCGCAGGGCTCCGGGAAGTCAGAATATTCGTTGACACCTATGCCAGGTGAACGAACTCGTGGTGTTGTTGCTGAAAATGTGGCAAGGGCCTTTGTGGCGTTTGTTACAGTTCAAGATTATGATTCAGGGCCTTGGGGTCAGGTTCAGTGTCACACAACCAACGATGACTTTGCGTTGTTTCCGGTTGGAGAAAGCAGCACAGATGTGTCATCTTCATTCAGTTCGGAGCATTTCGGGCTGAGAAACGACGTGCAATCTCTACAATCCGGGTGGGGTGAGATCGGCTTCAAATTGCTGGCAGTTAAGCCTTTTGACAGAGAAAAGATGTCAGAGGTAAGTAAACAAATCAACAAATCTCTTGAAAATACATTTCGCTAGTCATTTCCGGACTGGAAGCAAAGTTATTTTGTAGACCTAAATACCAACTTCAGCGATCGCATTTTAACCTGTTTAGTAGCGCTCGACTATCATCTGTAAACGGCATTTGGGCATAAAATGGATGTTTCAGAGAGACGTCTAAGTGTGCTGTGGGTTTTACTTGGCCAAACGTACATGGAGCTCTCCGCTAGACTCGCAGTTTCCCATAAAATTGGTGATGAATTTGCAGCGCTTTTAAGACAAACAACCAGAATAACCATTCTTAATTCCTAAAATCCTAAAGCGAAAAAGTGACAATAAATAAGACTACTTGCCAATTTTGATTTCTTTTCTCTCAGAATGCAACCAGACAATAATAAAATCTGGTAAGGTCTGTTCCCGTTACATCTAAAATTGTGATTTTGGAAAGTATTTTCTTCCGTGTACATGGAACTAATAGGATCGGATTTGCTTTTGACCAACCATACAAAACCTGTTCTTGCTATGTGTTTACTTAGAGCAAAAGACAGTCACAGATAAATACCACCATCATTATGATCTCTACTTGCGGACATGGATTGGCGCGGAAGGATTTGAACGGACGTAGTCCGGTCATTGTTGACTTTGAGCGGTCCCGTTTCTGCGGCAGAAATTCTGCACTCATCGGAAGACATGGCTCTCTGGTTTTTAAATAACCCCCTTTTTAATCGGCTCTCTCATTCGTATGCCCGATGAAACTGCAATCTGGTCAAACGATGAAACTTAGTAGATTTGGTCGGGTGTACGTTACCTTACTTGATGCTTATGTTTTGTAATTGGAATGGAGTCAATTAGTCCGTGCTGCTGATTTTAGAATCTTCCTTGTCGCGGCCAGTGTCATTAGCTTTACACAATAGCATAATTGTGTTTAGGCTGAATGGTGATCATTCGATCAGTGTGAATTTAATCCGAGTCAAATGGGCCTACCGAGCAAAAGACAGTCATTCTTTTGTGCTGAGAGCAGTCTCTTTTTTCAGACAGACCCTGTCAACTTATTAAGATGCACATCAATTTGTCACCCACCTTTGTTACCATAGAGGGCGCAGCAGCCTTGTGTGTGCAGGCTGACACAAACTGCCCCCCCCCTCGCAGAAAAAGAACTTCGGAACATCTCTACGAGCGGTTAGAACTGAGTTGAGTATAGGATGGGTCCTGCTTGTTTCTCAAGATCAATCTACTACGTCAGTGGTCTATCCATTTCAAACCTAACAGGGGTGATGATGATGTTAAGTAGCTGAATGGACCTACTTGCCCACATTGCCGATGGGGGATGAGTGGAGACGGTGGACATACATGCCAGATGACAGTGTGGCTGGTTTAAGCCGGACTTGACTGAGCCAGCACAAATCGATTCAGGTCAAAAGTTCCGACTGTCGGCCAAGTATAAACACTCGTCTTCGCATGCAGAAGCACTAGCCAAGACAGTGAGTGATTGAGTGGCCTGCCGACTGGGCAGGTGGGAAGCAAGCTCTAATGCGTCATTTCATTGACCCACGCCTCCCGAATCTAAATCCTATCTTGACTTCCCCTAACTTTAGTCCACCTTTGAAGGTTGGATACATGTGACTCAGGTCATCCGGACCAAGTTTAAAATACAAGAAATTCTGTTTTAGTCCATAATAATATATTGACGTTCCAAAAGGAAAACGTTTTATGTAGCACAATTGCCTTTTAATCCTGATAGTTGTGACTACGTTCACTTGTCTGGGGGAGCCCTAGAAACACATGAGCTATATATCACCATCCATACTTATTCAATTTAAATTTCTTTTAGGATACCACACGACGTTAAAATTTCCATCTTTTTATCAGACAATGAAACTTTGTAGAAGATATGGTTGGCAAATATACCTGAGTATTGGGTCGATTATTTTTAACTTTCCGGTGCTCAGATGCCATCAGATTTGTCGCATAGCAAAGTTGTATCCAAATGTGACAAAAGTACTCGCTATGAAAAACCTACCCATGGAAGTCATCTAGCTTAAAAAAGACAGTGTCAGTCGTGAAAGCCTACGGATTTACCAAAAGTGTTTTTCCGTGTATCAGTACTTGCCCGAAAGAATGATTGGATAGTTGTTCACCGGACAGTGGCCCCGTTGTCTCACCTCGAAGAGTTACCTAAAGTGAAATGCACGTGTTTCTATGTCTACATTTGCTGGTCACCGTAAGTCTGTTTTCGCAAACAGTCTAAAAATGCTTAATGGAGGGTCACGTGTCTTCTTCCTCTACGGCCAACTGATTAATCGTGAACGAAAGCCTACATATGTCCAGTTTTACTGATGGTTGATCAGCTATCCGTTGATCTGATCGTCGAAATTGGCAGTCGCCTTGCAAACGTTTCATCCCCCGTCCAGGAGTCATCGTCAATGCGCGATCGACCGTACTTACATGTACACGACAAAATATTACACTTTTAACCACTGAGGTGTCTTTTATTCTGATGCGAGGGACTAACCTCAGAACCGCATCTGCGTATTTAATCTGAAAAGAAAACTTCAATCGTGACTGACTCGCGTGATAGCATATGAGTTAAAACGTGCATATTTCCCCTCACTCAACGTTGTACTTGGGGGCAGAATTTCTGTGGAAAATAGATAGATAGTTAGATGATAAGACGGACGGATAAATGTCAAAGTTTCAGTGTATTTTTACCCGAAATCGACAAGTAATGAATAGGTTCAGTATAATGTACACAAAAATCATTTACTGGGACACTCCTACTTGCCATAAAGTCCTAGAAACTGCTGAACCAATAACAACAGTGAGTTTTATAAACAGAAATTTTCCAGAAAGAAAACTTTCCTTCTGAAAATATGTTATTTGTCCTCCGAAAGATTTCTTTTAAGAACGGGTGACGAGCAACATAACGTTTGAATTGCCATTCCACTAATATTCCATCTCAGCTAAATTTGAGGGATTAGCTGTACATAGCAATATGGTATCGAACGTTGTGGTGAATGAAAGGGCTACCTTTGAAGGCGTATTTCACAACCTTAGACGCTATTCTCCTCATATACATGTGTGATTTCAACGTACAGCTTGTTCGTTTGTTAAGAAGTTAGGTGTATTTGATAAGCATTCATTCGGAAGGTTAATAAACTAGGTCTGGTGTGTCTTGTTACCATTTTACAATCGTAGGACCATCTTCAACAGACTAACTCCGCATACAAATGGCATAGTTGAGAAAAGGTTTATCGATGTGGGCTCTGAGTCCGCTTTCGTTTTGTAGCCTATGTATTCCAGTAAGACCCGCATAGAAGGAGCTAAAATACACAGTGATATAGGCAGATTATTTTGTGCAATGAACTGCTTGGCGTCGAGTGCATGCTTCCGATTTTAGTAAAATTCTTTTCCCTTAAGTGCAGCAGGTACCCGTAAGTACTGCGTTCACGTTTTCCTGTGCATGCGTTAGTAGAGTTTATTTGTGACGCTGAATTAGATCCAGAATCCCTTCCAAATTATAACAATTGCTTTTTCCAGAGTAATATCAAATAGAGCGTAGTTGATAGTTGTTTTTCTCCCGTGTGTCCTCGACGGATTGTAGTTTACTGTCAAGTCTGTTAGACTTACGTATATATCTGGCTTTATGGAATGCAAGAAACTAGGGTACTTGTTATAGTCTTTTCCGAGGAGGATTACGGCAGACCGAACTGCCGATCATCGCATCGGGTGGTCTGTGAAACCAAGCCAGGTTTTGCCCTCAAATTTTTGAGTTAACCTGAGGTTTGCAACCCAGTAAATGTTGATCTTATCTATAAAAGACGATCAGTCGGGTTTGTACAGTTGGAACTGACTGATATACCAAGGCGCTATACCGGAGAAACACCAGCCAGCAATGCGTCAAAAAGCAGTACAAAACATAAATCTGCCCCAGAGTTTTGTTTTCGCTAATCTGGGGAAGACAGACTACACAATATTTTAAATGAAAATGGTTCGCAAAGTACCCAAAAAACTTTGAAAACAAGGTCTGAGCATTAAAGAGGCAACTCTGATGTGCACATTAACTTGATTGCATTAGAGTTGGGTATTTTGACTCTGTCGTGTGGAATTGTCAACATGGAAAAATCAAATACAGTTTACTAGACTGCCAGCAAGGCACCACTTATTTGAATGTCCATTCTGAGCTTCCCTGTATTTTAGGTGTTGGTGGTTGCGGGATTCTTTAGAATACATATTCACATGACTCTCGTCCGAACAATCGTTATCCTGTCCCTGGGCAATCATCCTGTTGAGTCCACACCTAATAGGGGAATAATCGGGTTCGAGTTTCTCACTTGTTAGAGCGTCTTGTATTTCCAGAGTGCTGTAGCAAAGCCTCTATGTGACCATGGAAAAAACGATATGATGGTTTCTGTTCAACGTGAGTTTTGTGACAGTGCAGTTTTGTTACAAAGAAGTTAGAGAGATTCTAACTGGGATCAATGGATGTGGTTTCGAACCTTTTTTCGATAACTTCGGCAGAGGACGGAACAAGGTCAGGAATTTGTTGAGGTTATCTTCTATACGCGAGTTTAACCTATACAAAGTGGGTTCTGAGATTCCCTAAACATCTCCCACCACCAGACTCAATCGCTATTTGTCGCAGATCCTTAGGCTCCCGGTCAATACTACCTTAGCTAACTTAACACGATACACCTGTGATTGCGTGCGCGGATGATAAAGCAATGGGGACCCAAAAAGAGTGTTATAACGATATCGTAGGCTATTTGAATGAGTTTATTTGCTATAAGTTCAAATGGAATCACTTCATTGTCAAGACCAATCCAAGGGCTTAAAGATGAGCTTTGAGACATTGGGCACTCTGTTTTACGCTATCGGAAAATAACTGTATACGGTAGAGGTGCCAGGAGTGGTGTTATCATCTATAATCTCATTCAGACATACGAATATGTAGTTAGTGTTCGTCGAATCCAGACGCCAAGTGAATCCAACCTCTAATGTGAAAATGCAGTTCCACACTGCATACAGTGTTTAGTTGTCCACCAGATCCAGAAACACAGGTAAAAGGGCCGTGCACATGGAATGTCTGGAAGTAGATTGAGGAGAATTTGCCTAAAGATGATGGTAATTATTAAAGGGCTCCACTTTCCATAGGATGGCCAATTTCGTAGTTAACATGCTTTTATTTGGGAGTATTGTATTAAAAGACTTCCCATGTGCTCGGAAGAAATAAGCCATTTTTAAAGTGATGTTATTTATGGATGGTAAACCCCCAAGATGATGAATTTAACAATAATAGCCAGTAGCCAGTCGATTACTTCATTTGAATATCACAACAAATTCCTATTTATCCTTTCGTTTAGGTAACGTTTTACATTGTCTGCGTGGACAACCCCACTTCAACCATTCCAAAGTACCAGGAAGCTACGAATCTGTTTCTGAGTTCAACGCAGCGTAACTACAATCCAAGTTCGGGGTACACATCATCAACATCGCAGCTCACGGGGACAACACTTGTGCGCGTCATGATTGCGGATGAAAATGATAACGCCCCACAGTTTTCAAAGAGCCAATATGTGTTTATCATAGATGAGGCCGTTGGTAAAACCGGACGGCCGATAACCCAAAGCATGGGACGATTTGTCGGTCAAGTAATCGCCACCGATGCGGACCATTCAAGTCAAGTGACATACACAATTGCTCAAGCGTTAACGGAATCGTTCAGCGTCGAGCCAGATAGCGGTAAAATCTACATCAAAAGACAAGTTGATCGCGAAAAAATTGTTGAAACACTTCAAGCTTCGGATTTAGACGATGTAGATGGGCTTAAGTCTAAAATTGAAGGTGACGGCAACGTGTATATGACCCTACCAGTGACAGCAACAGACGGACGTTACAATGTGACAGCGAACGTCCGCCTACTCATCCAAGATATCAACGACAATCCACCAGTGTTTACGAAGTCACACTATGAGTTCAGCATTCCTGAAAATGAACAGCCTGCCCACAGTGGATGTATAGGAGTTATACAAGCACGTGATAATGACATTGGTCAAAACGCGCAAATAGTATACCAGCTGATGGATATTCGGGATTCACCAAGTTCTGGAATATCAAATCTTTCCAATTTCGAGTCACATCGCACGTGGATTCGATCACTATTCACAATAAGCAGCAAATCTGGACAACTACATCTGATGAGAAAGCTGGATCGTGAGCAACAAACGCATTATATTTTCTATGTCCTTGCAATTGACAATCCACCAGAAGGTCGCACACAGCCAGCGTGGAAATCACCGGAATCTACGGTGACGCTTTCTGCAGTGAGTCACACAGCCACAGCCACAGTGACGGTGATAGTTGAAGATGTGAACGACAATGCACCGAAAATCACGTATCCGCCTCCACACGGTATTGTTAATGTAGAATCCGGTGCTCCTGCTGGGCATAACCTGTTCACTGTCGTTGCGGAAGATCCAGACGCTGGCGAAAACGGCACCGTGCGTTTCGGCTTGCATTTGGCCACTTTCGAAAGAAGCAAGTCAAACACATTACTGAGGAACAACAACTCTACCCAGACATCATTAGATATGGAAACTGTCAACACCAAATCAAACGGTGGCTTGTTTTCAATCGATCCCGCTACAGGTCTAGTTTTTGTGGTTGAAAAACTTGTTGATCAGTCGGCAAACTACTTGTTGGTTATTGAAGCTCATGATATGGGGCGCCCTGAGCAGCGAAAAGTAACATCGACAGTGACCGTTCGAGTTCAGGTATGTGACCGTTTTTCTGCATGTCCTTGTTTTCATTTATTAGGCTGGTTTGAAGAGGGTGCTTCCCACGTTATCTTTTGGTTGTATGAGAAGAAGTGGTATTGCTAAAGGCACAAGTCTGCCTGGGATGGATATATATTGCGCTAACACCTTACGGTATACCATGATTTGCTTCAAGTTAGGAAAAGTTAGGCGAAAAATTGCTCTCTAATACTTTACTCCTATGTTCCAGAACAGTCAGTTGCTGAATGCTCTAGCAGCCTTCCAGGCTGGAGTGACTAATTCCAAAGAACAGCAACAGGCTGAACGCAACAAGGTGCAAGCACCCCGGTTTCTGCCAAACGACCGCAATGCACTTGATCCAACAGGCCAGCGCCCACGTGATTCGGAGCAAGGTGGGAATATTCAGACAATGCGAAGCAAAAATGAAGCTTCATCTGATGGTGAACCATTCTTCAGTCCCATCTACCGCAATCGCCTACTGCCTCTAACAGAGAGAACAATTGTGGTGATTTTAGCCACTATTTTCGGTCTGCTACTGTTGATAACAGTTGTCCTCATTTTACTCATCAAACGACGGCGCGATCAGGAACAACAGGTGTCGGCACAAAAGGATAAATATGACTGTAAGTTCGTGTCATTAAAAAAGAAAAAGGATAACTTCCAGCTTGTAACATTCGATGCAGTACGCATTGAATTTTGAGGTTATTCTGTGGAAAATGTATGAAATTCATTCAAGAGTTGTTGTACCATCATTGCATGTCAGATGTGAGAAGGTACAGAAAGTGTTGGTGACTTCTCGTGAAGTCGCTGGAGTTGTTTTAACAGTGCTTTTGGCGGTGAAATTGATTGCTTCATTCAGAAGCTCTGAAGCTCCAAAAGCTCTGGAATATTAAAGCTATAGGGTCTAAATATACTACTTTCATGGAAAACAGGATATTCGATCTATGACAAAAATACGGGGTTTGATTAATCTGGGCACGGAGCTGATCTCAAATTTGATAAAAATAAGTCTACTCCAATGGTTCTCCAAAAAGCGTTTTATGGACAACGCACGGATTTCTAAAATAAACATCCGTTTCTTGAATAGCTGTTGTTTGATTTTTCAGGAATAATTAGTTGCATAACCACTGCGTAAGGCACATCCAGCAGCTAATGAAACATTCTACATTTGACGCTGTTCTGTGCATTTATCGGCCTGATGCAAGCAAAACGTTTTCATCGTAATGAGAATGAGTAGTTATCTTTCAGGCTTTCCTGCACTGCTTTGCTCGCAACACATTGTTGTTTCGTTGCCCAACATTGTCTCCTACCCTCCGCGGATACAAACACTTAGTCCGAATTGTTCTTTATGGCCTGCATATAATGGATTCATTTGGGACTGCACGACAAATGAGTCACCAATAGAAATTAGTCTTTTTTCCACACCATTAGCACAAACTATCATCTCAATGGCGAACAGTCTGTTGTGAAGCCACCGGTAGATCTTAGAGCTTTGTATCAGGGGCAAATTATGCCGCAATGTTCACAACATGTGTAGTTTACTTGCCCCGATTGATAAATGGCTGATTAGTGCACACGTAAATAAGAGTGCGTGCGCATAAGCGTTGTGTTTTGTGCCTTCTCTTAGACGTTGATCGTTGATTTGCATCAGGCAGATCTTTTTGAGAATTTAAGCCTACTGTACACGCTCCATGTGTTCCACAAAAAATATCCGTGAGCTTTTCGACCAAAAAACTTGGTTTGTACGTTTGCATGGGATCTGGAGCCTATAAATAGCCTTGAATGTCGCCCAACTATCCACCAAATGCTGGATTGTCCTGTTGTCCCTCGACCGGAATCTTTTCAACAGACTTACTACAGGTCAGTTTACAATTGCCCTCCATAACGACTTATCACAAGCCGGATTCCTGCCATTCTGATTTACTTGAACTGACTTTTTTGTCATAATATCAAATCAGGGAACGGTTAACAGCAATCATCTATGCGACGGGAACAATGTGAGAAAGCTGGTATAATGAGCAAATGTTCCTGACAAAAATTTAAAATCGTCAGATTGTTCACATCACCAGAAAGTTTGCATGCATCATTGCTTCGTGCAAAACCAGTACCTGATGTTAATCAGATTCAAGCCTTACCTTTTAGTTGTGCATAAAATCTAGAGAAATGTCTATCTAAAAATGCACATACACGTTCAAAGGACCCATCAAACATTGTCTGTGATTATTCGGCACAATATAAACTCATTTGCAATGAGTGCTACGACGGTCGCAATTTAGTCTTCCTCCAACCTTCTTGCGCCAAAAATCGGTGCCTTTTAATTGCGATCCTTGAAGCAATTCAATGTAGACCGTGCGCATTAGTTACTTCAATCCAGTCAACTATGTGCTATTTATTTAGGAAACTTAGTACAGTTCTTCATTCGGCATTGTCCTATAACAAGGAATGCCTGGTCCCATAAGGTCTGCGTTGTTCACATTTAAATACTTTCAGTTTGTCCTATGTGAATTACGTGTAAACGTTAGCCATTAGCACTGCTAAGTTGAACTGACCACAACCAACCATGGCATGGCCCATCAGTTTGTAACGACTGGAGGTTAATCGCGTGCCAAGCTTACAAAAGGACAACTAGGGTTTTGATAACTTTGGAAAACCACTTTTTGAGATGCTAGATATTTCGACGCAAAATCAAGACAGGCCAAAACACTTAAGCATATATCCATGTATCTATCCAAGCTCAGCACAGATCATTATCCGTCGCGTCAGCGAATATAGGTTTCACACTTGGCAAGCTAGATGGACTGATGGTGATTCACAACGTACCCGTTAAGTGGCTTTCTAGAACAGACAGAATTGAACAGCTAACCAAAAAAGCACTCAGCAAGTTTAGTTGAAGAGGATCAAATGGTCAACGCCATGGTAGGCAGCTTGGTCCACATTAGGTGCAACAAAATTGATGAGTGTTTCTACTGAAGTGATAAAATGCAGTTTGCGATAAGACACTTTAAGTTCATCCCATAAATGTACGAAAAACTGGTCGAAAGACCTGAGTCCTCTTTTCGACTAAAAGAGTCCTGGCAAAAAACGGTCCATTTTATGTGTTTAACAGTTTCAACAGTCTCTACAGAAGCCAGGATACTACTGATAAAAATGATGACTAAAAATAGCTTCATGCATTAGCATGAAGCTGAAATCTTGAAACGTCCCCGATTGTACTAAGTACGTATTAACATTACGCGTGTCTGGAAAGTCGGCGGAAATTAAAGGAATGTGACTTCATATTTGGAAGCTTTTGTGAATCTTCGGCCAGATTGTTATGTCGGTACAGCACAAGTGAATATACGCTATACGTACTGGAAATTCATCAGTAGCTTTGTATCTGGAGAGGGAGGCTCTCAGAAATTTCCAACTGCCCTTCCTGCTTTCCGTGGTGGCTTCGATGGTTTACGAGAACCTGGGGTGAGGAGAATCGATAACATGCTTTGAAAAAATTCTGCGTTTTCCCCACTTGTATTGCGCATGCTAAACTGTGAACACCCAGAGGTAAATTAAACTCAACTTGACGTGGCTCAACGTCTAAGTGGACAAAGTGGAAGTTCACGTACGATTTTACTAAGTAAGGCTTTAACGAGAGGAATCACGTTCTGGCCAGCGCGTACGGATCAGTGTGTTTCTCTCCCAAAAGAAACTCGTCTAACATGTTTTATTGTACTTCCGATGAATTCTGCTTTCTTTTAGCTTGTTTATTCTTCATACATATTAGATCTAATTTGCTTTTCGTTTGTGATCATTGTTTCTCAACTTTTAGCACATCTGCACCTCGTTACACTAAAATTTGCCGTGAAAGGTCAACAACCACTAGTAATCATACTAGATACGCGACTGATATTTGCTTGCAACAAGATCCAAGTTAGACTGCTCTTTGTGAATTTCTCAATACGCTAGTCTGATTTACCCTGAGTTCGGTTGCAACGAGGACTTCTCTGTGGCATAAGGTGGATAACAGGACTTGAGTTAAAAGGATGTATCCATGACGATTGTTCTTAGAACGGTTTATCCCAAAATGAAGCATATTAAGGAGAATCACAAGATAAACAAGGAATTGCGGATCTCAGTAAAATATACTCATCGGTTTTGGTATCCAACCATCCAGGTTTTAAGTTGTTCTGTACGCTTTCCATACTCCAAAGCGCTGCCAGTGTACACTGACATGAAATGAAGGAACACCTATCAGATATTAATGGCAGTTGTCAATATGGTTATCCCTGTAAACCGTCAAGACTAGGTTCGGCCAACTAGAGTGTCCCAACGGATACTAATGCTAGACGTAATGGAAAACTCAAAACACGCTGGCAGTTTACTGGCAGCTAAAAATTGTCTTGATCTTAACGTCTATTCATGTCAGCGATATGTGCCTGGTTTATTAAAAAATCGACTGATTTTCGTTGGTTTCCATTCGTTTATTCAAAAAGATTCACTTTGGTCCCAGTGGAGCCTTCAGACAGTTCCCCAATGAGAATATCGCAAGAATAGTGGATCACCCAATAGATTCTTGAGTTAACACTTCAATAGAAAGAACACATTTTCATTTAAAGCGTCTTGCATCTGCTTAAATACCAGCTGCAGTGAGAAACCAGTGCTAAACAAAAATCCTGATCACATAAGGTAGAAATATGTGCAACATTTAATTGAAGGAGTTCAAACTATTGAAGGGCAGTATCTTTTATGACGGCTGTGCACCACAGGGTTTCAGATCTAAAAAATTTGCGAATTTACAGGAGACGAATGAAGTTTTGTGGTTACAATGGTAGCTGCTGGGTCATTGTCAAGGCAGCTACACCCAGTGACACCAGATGTACTAGACAGGCGCTGAAGGTTAGTACATGGAACACCTGAAAGGCTTGTAGATACTTCCCGCCTTCAGATGCGCACTAAAAAGTAGGGAATGTATTTGCAACAATGTTATATGTATACTGATGTATTGCTAGTTGACCAAGAAGACATTCACCGAAACCGCCGGGTAAAATATTTGAGTTGAACATTTGAATAATTCTTCAGTTCCCAGACCTAACAACAACGCTGTGAAAGTGGAACTGCTACGATCTGGTGGCCGTTCAACAAGTCCTCCCGTCAGTCCTAACGATGAAGATGCTGCGAACGCCTCTGCGACCGATTTTGCGACACTACCTCGAATCAGACCAATCATAATCCACGAAGGACACTTTGTGGAACTGGATAACAACTATACAAATAACAGTGCAAATGTTAATATTTATGGCGACCACCTGGATAGTCTTCATAGTCAAAGGGTAAGTTGGGATACTGTGTCTTGGCTGAAGTAAGTTCCAAAATCTCTGAACCATAGATTTTTGATAGATTCATGTTGGCTGTCGACAGCGGTTACTAGGGAAGAAATACATTTCTTGTAAACCGGAGCAATATTTAAGCAGCTGCGGTTTACATCTGGCCAGTCACGTCAACCTTCAGTTGACAAGGCTCCATAAGGTTTGTTTCCGTTTGCATCTATAGCAAACGTGTGTAAATCCAAGGAATGAAGACCAAAAGTTGAGGAGGAGGAGGCAGTTATCCAGCCTACCAGGAGTACCCAAACGATAGCCTGTAAGAACTAGAGGTATAAGACACACAGGGCATAAAAACTGGGATCTGATGGATTGTACCAAAAACAACACATACCCTAAGCACACACACACACGGTTCACCAATAAATTCAGCTGAGTCTGTACAAAGGTGGTCACGAAGAGTTATTCCTGCCATCGATATACGCTTGGCAGTAATAAATAATCTGATTAGGACGGGTTGTCTATGAAGATATACAATACGGTTTACAATGCAGCGCGACATAACACAGTGGATACGGAAGTATTTTAAGTCACAGTGAAAACAAATTAACCACCCGACTAGAGGATTTCAGTGGTGGCTTGCTTAAGCTTCGAGGAGTCCTAGAGGTTGGAGCAGACCATTTGAAAATACACAGATGCAGAATAGCGTACACCAAACCCGCGTGAAGAACTCCAGAAAACTATCGAACTAACCGGTGATCTGGAGTTAAAACCACGTGATTCCATTGGTAGCTCCTATGACTATCAAGACGAAACATATTAAATTGGGATTCAAAACAACGCAAGTCGGTACAACGCGCACAAAAATAATTTTTTCGAGGGACTAAAAAGGAGGCAAACTGGAACTTCACATGGGGGCTTCTCGTGACAAAACACCTTGAAAACATTTAATATCAGACATCTATTTTATCCAAACTTAACAGTGATGGTGGCTTTTCTGGTATATTCTTCGATGTTTTTTGCACCGGTTGAACGCCGTTTTGTATTCATGCGAAACACGACAGTTTGGTAAGCCGGACACTCCTGAGTGCAAAGCTTTATGTTTACTAATATATGGAGCGTGATCGTTTCGTCATATATGATACTTCTCTACAAACACTTTTCAGTCTAGTTACGTAGAAATTAAGAGCCATGACGTGTATCCAGAAGGCTTAGATACAGTTCAGAATTCTATCCAAAATTCCATCATTATTCTCTCAAGGGGCTAGAGTTGCTTAGGCTGTTGCCAACACATTTGTACCCCAGTTGGCTAACGTTCTTTCTATCTGTGACTTCTGCAAGGAATCCTCCATTCGCATCATTGTCACCACGTGCACAGATTCACCCGTTCGCACATCTGTCTCCTAATGTGGACTCGGGCAGCCGTTTTTCAAGGCGTGATTAGGATCTTGTATATGAGTTTCAACCTTTCGAAACCACATTGGGAGCAGTAAATACACCGAAAATTGTTTAAGGATTTAGGCGATGGCTGACATAATGTCTGAGAATCGGCACTGCACTCGCCTCAGGATACTGGAGACAAAAGCACTTCTAATTCAAATTTTCAAACAAATGCATTATAAATCTCGACCCAAAAATATTCTTAACGGAGCTCACCAGTCAGCAAGCTGCTGGAAGCTCTTTGACAATACACGACGTTAGTTTCCCTTTTTGGGGCGCAGCCCTAGAGGCTTCGTCAGTTTTACCTTCTGCTTCACGCCAAACTGGATAGGGTTTGCGAAATGCACTCTATCGCAAACTAACGTGGTTTTAACGAAGAGTCTCAACCGGATCCCAGCTAAATCTCTCGTTTAAGATTTTGTCAGTTGAATGTGGTGAAACGAGTTGCCTTATGTTCCCGCTGTCACGATGTTATTACGATGTCCTCAAGTTCTCTGAGATTTTGGCAGCGCACCTCTCAGACACTTTTTTCAGTTAGCGATACAGCGCAACTGGTAATGGAGTAGTGGCTAAGACGAGAATCTTTAGTTTTCCGAAATGCTTTAGACACGAGTAATGTGCAAATACAGCTTGCTTAGGGGTACTGCTGTTAACTCCTGTTAACTCCTCACATTGAACTGTTGAAGTAAAGCTGACTAGCGAAATGATTTGGTAGTTCAAAATGTCGAAGTCATCCAACGGACTTTTTCGACATCCCCCGCTGCTCTTTGATGACGGTGGAAGTGTGGTGCGTTCGTGGTGCATGCCGCCCTGGTCTAGCTTGAGCGGCTAACCGCTACCTGCATATCGTTTGTTTTGATCTGCAATGTCGAGGACACCCTGGTTATTATACTGAACTTATAAATCTCTGGACCAAAAACACCATTCTACAGACTGTCCATTTTTATCGGGTGATGCTAATTGTAGGTCTGAAAGCTAAATGATGGCAAATCCTCCCAAGTGGGAGTTGTATGTACCACAGATCAGGCAGTCATGATTGAAAGGCACAACCGTTAATGACTAGTTGGAAGGTCTCAGGTTAAAATTGCCGTGCAGAATCATGGGGCATGCCGATAAATCCCAAAAAAGATGATACAGCTGTGCGGCGCTTCCATATTTTGGAGCATAGATTGAAGTCACACACACACACGACGAATTCTTGCCAGAGACAAGAACATGGCAAGGCAACCCCACCAATTCTGCCTAATAAACAGTGCTGTAAAGTGTCACTTTGGATTGATGGGTTAATAGATGTTCCAAAATAAAAACGGTAGAAACCGTCAAATCAATTTACGGTCCCACAGAAAGATGGCCTCGGAAAGATGTCTTGATGAGCTCCACCAACGTGCAAACCTGAATGAACCTCTTTCTGAGAGATTAAACTACATCATTCTGACAACCCAGCTGTCACACAATACCTCACCATTTAGGTTTTGAAACTTAAACAATAGAAATTCAGTGCATCTACGATACTCTACAAGGCTTGTGTCTTCAGTACAGCTGGGCTCGTCACTAATCGCCGATCAACTGTATTCGCACACTATAACCACCGTAAACGGCTTTTAGGTTAGAGGAATCCTTTTTGGAGAGAATTACGTTCACTCGCAACTGTAATGTGAATGGATTACTTCTTATTTTTCGAATTAATTTTTTCTTCTAAGGAAAGCCAAACGTGTTCCATCAAAAGTCCGTCACATTACCAGAAACTCTGTATGCAACTGGATTCTTCACAGCACAGTCGTGCATTCAGTCATCTTGGGAGGAATAAAAGATAAGGGCTCATATAATATGCCAGTTACTCAGGTGAAATTTCCAGCCACCTAGTAGGCACCGATAATTCAGGACAGTGTCAGCAGATATATCCACTAATGTGGCAGCTGAAACATAAGGCCATTTTGTGTGGCATGTTCCGTCGAATAACACTAACTGAGGGAAATTCAGTTAGGATTAACCCTATCTCTTGTTTATGCGAACTTAATTAGAAGACGAGTTTGTTTCGCCAGAAGAAGGGGTCATCAGGAAATTGACCCATTTTAAATTTCTCAATATACGTGTGGGTTGCATGTTTATCTTAAATGTTTTGTTATTATTCTGGAAGTTGTACACATGACCGTTTTTTACCAACTAGACCTTTTAAACAAAAAATAAGAACACCTTTCTTGATTCTCTTACGGATGCTATTTTTGTTCTCCACTTTCCCTGCCCTTTACAAATCCACGGCTTCAGGACTATCAGCGGATAATCCCTACGCACTTCATAAATACTGTGGTACCTACCGTCGTTCACAGTCCACAGACGAATTCCTTAAGTGGATCCAACGGTAAGTTTTGGCATCAACTTTTATAGTGGTGTCTATTTTCGAATTAGACTCAGAGTCACGCAGTATAATGTACAAATAATAAGGAATGTGGCTGAATTGAGCAATGAGTCTGTACAATATAAGCTAAAAGTGGCAAAACAGAGTAAACTGACTGTGATTTGCCTAGGGGGTCTAAGCGATGGAAGATGAAGGTGCGGTATAATTGATAGCTTTTGATAGTTTGGTGTTCCTCAATCCGTCAAGGCTGTTGTAGGACTGCGACTTCCTAAGGTCACAGTCAATGACTTGTGTTTGCTTGCCTTTGTGGGCTCTTTGCGTGCTTATGGCACTGTAATGCGTAGTACATGGCGTTGAATGTATATTTTTGCTATTTAGTCTCACACCAGACCCAGTATGCCGGACACTCTGTGCCTGATGTGCGAGTCATGATTGTGCTGGTGCTTACCGCGCCTTGGAGAGCATTCAACATCGTTTGTCCTTTCTTCGGTTGTTGGTCTTTGGACGCGTCTTCCCATACAAATTTTTTTACATACGTTGGGATTCATCCCATCTGACCGGAACTGTTGGTGGCATGAATTCGGATGAGATGTTTACCTCTTTTATCTCATATTCCCTGTTCTTCTTTCGCATTCGTCGTTTGCATTCACTCTTAATGTTTGTGACCATGCTCTTCAGAAATAAATGACAATAAGTGTTACTGGCCAGGCATTCGTTGTAAGGGGATTCGAAAATGAGTAAGCAATTTATGAACAACGGATGTTGGTACTGTTTACCAGATTATCCATGACTGACACATCAGTACCGATTCATATTATGACAGTTGTCAACGCAACTTTCCAAGGTGATCAATGCACACTTGTTTTGATACTAGACAAGCCAGTCCGTTGAACCATTGGAAAAAATGTGATTTTTGGGTCTCCCCATGCACACGTGCACTGAGCGGACGAAACCTGAGTTCAGGACACTGCAGAGGTAACTATAACTACCGGGAACATGTGAAGTAGATTCAACATAATGTTTCGCCTACTTATGCCAGTTAGAAAAATATCTGGAGCTGTTAGCCAAAAATGACAACTGATGTTGTATGTGGGGCCTAGCGTTTATGTGATCTGTTATCACGGTCGATCGCAACAAATGTCTCGTTCACTTCAAAGTGAGTGCATCCACAGCCCAGAGTCACCAAAAGCAAAAAATCAGACATTTGTTTAAAACCTTTTAGTAAAGTGTTAATGCCTCAGCCAAAAAACCACTAATTCCAAGCCAAATACAGATTCCTCATGTTTGAAAGTTGTTCATTAGTTCTGAGAGTGCCCTAAAACCACTAATCCAGAGATCAAAATCTCGTGGCAGTGTTTCATAACGTGCTGTGATACACAATGAGCCCTTGGATCAATAAAACATGCACAATAATCACGAAGATCACGAAGAAGATTTATGGAAGACCGGAAATTTATCAAAGATGCAAGGGTAATAAGTCACATATTTCCGAATAGAACTCCGAAATCCGCGATGTTGAAAGTTTTTCCAGGTGGTCTTTAATATTTTCTTGGTGACCTTCGCTGTCATATACTCATTAAATGACTGCCCAATACCAAATCATTAGCTGTTACTGTGAGGGTGAATTCTCTAGATGGATTCCTCAGGGTCGAATATCTCGTCGCATATTTCCAGAAACCCATTTCCCCCCAGAGTATCAGTCATCTACCCACCAGTCTCCTAGGGTACATTTAGTTGGCCATGTTTGCTAATTAACCGAGCAAACTTTGTTTGTACTTCAACTCCACAAAAATGCGGTTTTTTGATCCTCGTTGCCCCACGGAAAGCACCCACCAATTAGACTGTAGTGCAAGTAACTAGCATAGGATTATTAAGTGACCTTAAATGGTCTATATAGATTGGCGTGTGTTTTTGTGCAATTTTACTAACTCTGAAGGATACAATAGCCATAGCAAACCGAGCCATATGACAAAACGCGATCTCTTGTTTGCTGTTAAACCGGATTTAAAAACCATATCACTCTAACAGGATAAAAATCTATATCTTACATCAACAAACTAGTTTTCTTGTATTTTTTCACATGATATTAAACTAATTTCTTTCCTATGTTGCGGTTTTTACAATAAGTACTTGCGAATTTAATTCTTCTCACAGAAAGTCTTAAGTGGTATGGGGAGCTTTATTAAATGGAATTCGCGCTAGCAATATGCACCCAGTTCGCAAAAATAATCAAATCGGAGTTTATTTTGCTTCAGCAACAACAAGCACGATTCCACTGAACTGTCTCTGGGTAAGAAAGGATGGACTGCAAAGCATTTCAGGTAGAAATGCTAGAAACACTTTGAGTACTGCCAGTTGTTGAGTGCAAAGTGGCTGTTTATGGATAAGGTAACACAATAAACGAGGTTCAGGTCAAAATGCCATGGTGCTAAAATGCACTTCGGCGTAAAGGCTGGAACCTCAATCATTCCCGGTTCTACACAGTCAACAAAATATGCGACGCAGCAGATCTAGTTTTAAACGCAATGACATTTGAATTTCACTAAACAAGAACTTTGTGATATGAAGACCCTTTAGATAGTTTGCCCGAAACTCCGGCAGAATTAACATAACGGGATCACTAAAGTTTCAGATAACAGCTTCTCTAGTTAGCATGCCCCAACCAATTTGATGCGTGCAATCAGTAAATCGTTTTGAAAATACAGTAATTGTAAACTTCTGGACGCATGAACCTATTTTTTCCGACATCTTTTCGCAAAAGCATTTCATTGCAGCAACCTGCAAGGTGATGAAAAATTTATGTTTGCTGTTTTTTTATTTTGTTCATTATGTATCCGCTGCACGCAACAACATGGTAGAACGCTGTCTAAGCAGCTCCCTTGAACTGCTGAATTCACATGGGCAGTCGGATGTCAATGGTACCGTGGCACGACAAGTTGCAAGGGATACACAGCTAGCACTGGTACAAGCTGATCTACCTGCGAATCGCAAACTATCAGTTCGTGGGGCTAGGACTGACAGCCGCTACCAAACGATCGATTTTCTTCTAGGGTCGAATGAAGTTGCGCATGGTCTTCCAAATGCTACAAACTTTTCTAACGCCTTCGAAAAACAAAATTATCAGCAACACTCAAAAGACAATAAATTTTCCACAACTGAGGTAGTGGCGCCAAGAGCAAACTCCAACAGATATGCGGAGGCTGAAAAAACGCTTTCAAGAAATGCACCAAGAACTGCATGTGAGCAGGTGAGACCTGCATTCTTGTACGATGGTTCTATGCTTTCTGTGCATTAAGAATAGCGAAGTTTAGATGCGTTCGGTTGTTTACCTACTCAGAGGCTGTCAGAATAGTCAAGTGTTTTATTTTAAAACGGTTAGCAGTATTTTATTTTCAAAGTGACTCCTATTGGTCAGATGGAGCTACCTGACATAACAGTTCTTTTGATTGCGAAAAGTTATCTTGACTGTCCTCATCTGTCAGAAATTCTCTCATGCTGGCATTTGTGCGTAACGCAACTTGCAATGACCTGAGGTCATTTTTATGATCCACTAATATGTATGTAAACGATTTTCAGCTTTGACACGTATCATTGTGAGGTTTAAATGGAGGGCTACAATTTTCGCCTTTACAACGTGGAATTAAATAAATTTGACGTTGCCAAAGATGGATTCGTAAGCTGCATTTAAACAGCGTTCTGAGGAAATATTTTGACCTAATTTTATTCTCTCTGCAGTTAACTGAATAGTATGCTTGTCTGGTGATATCACATGCCTGTGTTATCCCCACAACAAGAGGTACTTCAACCAAGGTTTCATCCCGTCAGAGTTGCGGATCTATGCCGAACAGACGAGTACACTGTGCAACTGTCCCATCCTTATTGGGAATCATTAGCAGTCCGCAATTAAAGAAACTCTGAGAGTTTCGAACCCAAGCAGCTGAACCCCAATTTGAATAGAATATACCGCCATCCATCCTCCGGTCCCAGAACTCATACATTATTCGGGTTCTTGAATGACAGCTTATATTATGGAGTTTTCACCCAGTTGTGAAATTAAGTTTGATTGTAATGTAGGAAACTTTTGTAATTTACACCTAAGAAAGCTGTACGGTGCTTTCAGCGCTGCAGCATAAGTTAGCCCTACTGACACGTCGAAGCCATAACTGGTAATACAGTTCGGTTAGTGCTAACCGAGGTTTTGGACACTTTACTAATATACGGTCCGGAATTGTTGAACAGAAATCGTTGTCACCAATTATTAATTATCCCCGTCAAACGAACAACAGTTTCGATTGCTTAGTAAGAAATTGGTTTTGTCTTTTGGTGGAAACTGGTGATAAAACGTACTAATGATATGTATCTTGTATGACCAAAAAATCAGGTTAAAATAACGAGTTAAGATTTTGAGGCAAACTGTGAGCAAGTTGTCTTCAAGCTTGGGCGATGTGGTTGGTGGGCGCAAATCATCGAAGAACGACCCAGTGACTGGCTGTGACGATCGATTGACCCGCCAGCTAGGGCTTCCCAATCACGTAGCGTCACATACGCTTGAAACCCACTGAGCAACATTTTGGTTGCAATTGTGGGGTTTTATGGGATAGGCATTCTGTTCATATTCACACCACGCTTGTTTGAACGGTCGTCAACTTTTCTGGCGTAATTATTCCGGTTAGTCCGCACCAAGGGGAAGCACATGAATCGAGTTTCGCTCTTATTAGAGTTCAGCAGCAGCGCCCACCCAAAGGACGTGCTGGGAGTTGAACCCCGGACATATGGCGAGGCGAGTGTGTTACCACTTCTCGACCAAGGCACGTTAGATGCATCTGAATTTTCACGTCTGAAAAGGTGAACGTGTTCACGATTGACCGATGTGGTTGTTGTACCCGTGAACACGTTCACCCGTTCCGACGTTAAAGTTCAGATGCGTCCAACGTGCGCTAGGGAAATAGTGGTAACACGTTCGTCTCGTACGTCAGGTGTCCGGAGGTCAAACCCCGGTACGG